ACAGAAATGGGCAAGGTTTTGTTCTGTTATGCATAGGGTTTCTATGAGTTGGAGCTGACTCCATAGCACCTAACAACTACAAGCCTCCTAAACTATGAGAAAATATAATTGTGTGTTAAAGCCATCCACTTTTGGTATTTCTATAATAGCAACACGAGAGAACCAAAATACTGAATAACCAAAACATTATTAAAAGGGAAAGAATGTGGTTAGTCAATTATTTTTTAACTTCTTACAGTGAATTGAGTGAAGATTAACAGACAAAAATCATCAGTGTTACATTCAACAACTTATATACTTTGTTTCATCTCAATGATTACAACCCCCTCCCTGCAACACAGTCAACCTACTTCTTCCCTGTGGCTTCCCTTTTACATTTGACATTTCATAAACGAGTAAAGCAAAAATATTTGATGTAGACATTTATATATATATATATATATATTCATTTAAATGTCCTAAGGGCATATTCTGCAAGTCCGCTTCCTTCCCTAATATCATGAAAGATGAGAAGATTTAAGAAGTTGAACGAACTTCAAACAGGATAGATCCCAAAAGAAAAATCACCAAGACATATAGTAATCAAAATTTCAAAACCAAAGATAAGGAAATAATCTTTGTTTTCCATGTGTCTTGGCATTAATCTTTTCCTGATTTTAGCAGGTTCTCAGTGCAGGGCTTCTGGGTCCAAAGAATATACTTCTCCTATTCTTTCTTTGTGGTAGGAGGTCCTCTTATCTCTGCTTGTTTTTTAATCCCCTTTTAAAAAAATTATGAATTGAGTGACAGTTTACAGATCATCAGTTTTACTTTCAACAAATCATATACTTTGTTTCATCTCAATGATTGAAATCCTCCCCATGTAAGAACAATGATTCCACTTTCTCCCTGTGATTATTTCCATTTTATGCTTCTTTCCATCCCTTCTCAACTTTGTCCTTAGGTAAATGCTGCCCTTTTGATTTCCAATAATTGACCATTACATGGTAAACATATATTTTACCAGGGTTGTCCTGCAATATACCTATCTACTGCTTGGTGGAAAATTGGGCCATGAAGGTGAGTTCCCTTCTAAACCTGAAGGGTAGTTGAGGGCCATTAGTGTCGGGTTCCTCCAGTCTCTTTTTGACCAGTAAGATTGATCTGTTTTTATAATTTTGAGTTTTGTTCCTCATTTTCTCCCACTGTTTTTTATTCACTTTTATATCTCAAACAAGATTGAGTCATGATAAAACCTAAGCCTGTAGAGTGTAGCAGGCTTCCTTAATGCCAGTAATTTGGCCTCATTAATATCATAGAGGTTAGAATTTACAACATATAGGGTAATTACATCAGGTCATAAAATTCAAAATAATTATATAATACTGAGAATTAAAGTCTAGCCAAGTTGATCCATATTTTGGGGGACATACAATTAAATCCTTAATTTTGAAAAGAGGATTGACACAGTGAGATGGATTAACAGGCACAACAAGATTGTGTGGATAGAGCATGACTGGGTGGTGTTTTGTTCTGTTGTACACAGGGTTGCTAAGAACCAACTCCACTACAATAATAACAATGAAAACCTAGGGTTCTAAACTAAATTGTTGTTGTTATTATGTGCCGTAGAGTCGGTTCCGACTCATAGCGACCCTGCACAGGGTTTCCGAGGCTGTAAATCTTTTTGGGAGCACACTGTCTCATCTTTCTCCCGCGGAAGAGCTGGTAGTTTCGAACTGCTGACCTTGTGGTTCGCAGCCTGTAATAGAACTGTATAATATCTTTATTTGAAGATTAGCTTAGAAAATGTTATTCCTAACAATTTCAAGTTTTTTTTAACAATGTGAATTTGAGGCTATTTATAGTTTTCCAGATACAAGAGTACTAATTATATTTTGCACAGCTTTGCTTAATCTGTTTTGCTGCTAAACAAAATTGTTAAGTGTCATCAAGTGGGTTCCAACTCTTAATGTCCCTGTATAGTGTTTCTGAGGAACTGCTAGTGGATTTGAATCGGTGACCTTGCGGTTAGCAGAATAGTGCTTAGCCTACAGCGCCACGCCAAGACTCCAAAACAGAATTAGGAAGTCACAATCTTAATACTTAAGTAGTGAAACTACGTTGGGCTTTGTAAAGAAAATAAAGCTACTCTCAGATGGTAATAATCAGAGGCTATGTGGGTTCTCCTAAGGAACTCTGGTAGTGTAGTGGTTACGAGTCAGGCTGCTAACCTCACGGTCAGCAGTTCGAAACTACCAGCTATTCCACGGGAGAAAGATGAGGCTTTCTGCTCCCGTAAAGATTTACAGCCTCGGAAACCCAGTACAGGGTCGCTAAGACTCGGAACCGACTCCATGGCCCACCATCACCACGTGGGTTCACTTGATATTTTAACTGTTCATTACTACTCTGGTGAATGGCACTTCGCTTAAATTATCACGTTGGAGGAGAATATTGAAAGTGCCATGGGCTGATCCGTTTTGGAAGAAGTGCAGCCAGAGTGCTCCTTGGAGGCCAGTAAGGCCAAACTTCGTCTCTCATACTTAGGACGTATTGTCAGGAGGGACCAGTCACTGGAGAAGGATATCATGTTTGGTAAGGTGGAGGGTCAAAGAAAAAGAGGAAGACCCCCATCGAGATGGATTGGCAAAGTGGCAGCATCTACGGACTCAAGCGTGGCAACAGTTGTGAGGTTGGCCCAGGATCGGGCAGTTTCATTCTGCTGTGCTTGAGGTCGCTATGGGTCGGTACCGACTCGATGGCACCTAACAACATCATGTACAAATGTCTGTGTCACAAAAGATTTATATACATCATAATTTTCACTTTGCAAACAATGTATAGAGCACCTATTATGCACAAAAACTTGAGCTGAAGAGCTTTGGTGTTTCTAGCAATTAAGAAACGGTACTGAGGCTGCTTTCTCAAAGGAGGATTTTGTACTTTTAGAGGGCAGGGAAAGTATATGTTAAACTAAGCTTTTGCTTGTTTATATTCCAGTGTCCTTGGCCTCCAGCGAAAACCTAAGGCAAGCTAAAGCTTGCTCAAAGGAACTATATAAGGTTTTCAGTGATTTGGGTTTGCCCTAAAGCAAGACCATGGATTCTTGAAGAGATTTAATCAAAGGCGGGTTTTTTTGTGTGTGATTTTTTAAAAAAAGAATCTGTTTGCAATTTGAAATTTCAGCGCGGTCCTGCAGACATGCACTAAGGGAGACGGGTTCGAGTCCCGCCGCTTACGGTTCGCCAGCCAGCGCCTTAGGAACCCGCAGCGAGTCCCTCAACGGCACCTGAACGCCTGCGGGCATATAACCACGTTATTGCTCAGTCGATCCTGATCCCAAGAGCTCGGCGAGAGTTACCGGAAAGAGGCATCGCCCTCTCAGTGGCTTGGAGGTGCCGTTTTGAGAAAGGCCACGAGGGCGGGACCTTGGGCCATGAGGGGCTATTTCCTCACACACATATCAGGGTGAGAGAGGCCGCGTTGGGACTAGTGGGGAGGGCAATAAGGCACGATCCAGCGGGGCCTAAGCATTGGTGGGCACTGACGTTGCGCAGCCGGGGAAACCGACAGTTCACAGTGGGGAAAGATGGGTCAAGGTAACGAAAGTCTCACCACAGCCCACACGCCACCGACGCCTAGTTGAAGGAATTCTAGAGCGCATGGGGGAAGGGTGCAGAGAGTTGGCACCTCGCAGAGAGCATGCTCCGTTCTGAGAGCCGTAAGTGGAGAAGCAGGCATGCGCAGTGAGCCTAGGGTGGGTTGGCAGGGGGGAGGGGCTGGCGTGAGCGGGCTGATGTGTTTATCCGGTTTTCTGGGTGGGCGGTCAAAGCGCACGCGTAAGGACGAAAGGCGGCGATGCGGAGTATTGGAATGCGCATGCGCTGAATGAGCCGGTAGTTCTAGGAGGGTGCGAAGGGGGGCTCTTAGAGGAGAAGCAGGGGAAAAGGGAAGCGAAGGGAAGGGAAAAGGCGGGGGGAGGGGTGAGAGTGCGTTCTGCGCATGCGTGCGAGCGGTAGCGACGACGGCGGCGGGGGAGTCTCGGGATGACAGTGGCTTTGCCCGTTGGGGTAACGGTCGTTGTCGCCGGCAGGGCCTGAGACACCGCGCAATCCGTGGGATCCATTAAGACTGCAGTAGCCCGGGCTCGATCGAGCGAGAGGGGCGCGTGGAGTCGGGGTGAGGGCGGCGAGGCACGGGGGGGAGGGGCTTGCGGCAGGGCCTTGCTGTGTGCGCTGGGCGGCGGCGGCGGGGCCTGGCGGCGTGAGCATTTGCTCAGTGGCGGACGGGCGGGCGCTGCGGTCGGCGGCGGCCGTCGTGCTTGGCAGAGGCGGTGTCTGTACGGCCTGAAGAAGATGGCCGGGCAGTGAGGGGGCGGTGCTTGCGCCCAGTGACCCCGGAGTGTGCGAGTGAGGAGTGAGGGGCGCTGCCGCGGCCAGGCCGGGCCTGCTCCCCGCCCCCTCCCGCCTGCCGCCGCCGTTGGCCCGCTCACTTCCTCCCCAGCCCTCCCCTGTTGGGTTGGGGACTCTTCTGGCCTCTTCGCCACCTCAGGGAACAGCGAGGCTGCAGTCGCCGGGGCGGAAAGCCAGGCGTACTCTGGGCCCCGCGTCCGATATGGGGAATGCGGCGGCGGCCTTCCGCAGCCGCAGCAGTAACACTGGTCGCCGTCGCGGCTTCTTGCACTAGATAGTGAGAGCCTCCTCTCGAGCTGCCGTCCTTGCCGCCACCGCTGCCTCGGCGTCGAGCGCTGTGATGGAGTAAAGGGCCCTGTAGCCCGAGAGAAGCGTGCCCGCCCGCCGCCGGCTCGGGCCGGGGCCTGCTCCCGCGCCCCGCAGTCCGACCTGAGAAGATTCCACCGCGCCTGAACATGCAACTCGCACGAAGGCCGCCCGCCGAGCCGCGGGGCTAGACTGACCGCCCAGTGCGGGTCCGAGCGCCCAAGCTGCCGCACTTGCGCCCTGTGGCCGCTCGGGACGATCCCATCGAACGCTGGTTTCTTTCGCTCTTGTAGTTTGTCGTTTTTTGTCTGAGAGTCTCAGGAACGGAGGAGGGGCGCCAGGGCCCCATGTGTGGGAGGATTGCTTCAGTTCCACAAACTTGCACGGATTTTGGTTACTACTTTGGCCAGCGATTCTGCTCAGATTTCCTCCGAATTATTGCAAATTCACCGTACCGTGGCTGCTTAGAAACTTGGATCCGGCATTTCTTTTCAACCGGGAGCCATCGGTGTCCAAGTGTCTGCAATGAACCCGGTGAATGCTACTGCTCTCTACATTTCCGCGAGCCGCCTAGTGCTCAACTACGACCCCGGAGACCCCAAGGCGTTTACAGAGATTAACAGGCTCCTGCCTTACTTCCGACAGTCCCTCTCGTGCTGTGTTTGCGGTAAGACACTTTTTACTGTTCCCTTGGCACTGCTCGTTTTGTTTTTAAAAGAAAAACAAAACCCCGAAACCCCTCCTGGGTTGGTAACTTGAACGCTTTGACGGCCTGCTCGTTTGAGTTAAGTTCTTGTTTCTGCTGCAGTAGAAACCGGAGTCCGTTTGAGAGTGGCCGAGAAACTTGTGCCCTGCCTTCCCGAAGGCGGAATCGCCACCGCTGGCCTCTCGGCTCTTGGCTCCGTCGGAAATCTGCCGCTTCTGGGGATGGGTTTTACTCCGCGGTTTCGAGAAGTTCGTGGGAAACTGGAATGAAAAGATCATGGGATTTTCCACGAAATTTTTGAAGCCCCCTCGTATATGCGTGCACATTGCTGCTTTAAATGTTCGTTTTTTTAAAAAAAACCTGGACTCCAGACCGGATTGAAGCCTGTCCATGTGGCCTGTTTGCCTTTCCCCAAACTGGTTCCATGTGGACGCACGCTGTTGGCGTCTGATGACCCCTCACCTGGGAAAGCGCAGAACTTGCCCCCCCAGTTCCTTCAACAAATGTTTCCATGGTTTAATGGCAACCAGAATCTGCCGGGGGAGACAGCTGGTACTGCCAATACTTTTTAGGTATTGGGATTTTTACAGCGTTGTTACTTTGTTATGTTAGGTTTATTTGCCATTTTTTTGTTACAATGTTAATTGGCAGCATACATTCATAGTGGTGGTATTTTTGAGAGGTGAAAGGAGCATGCTAAATTGTTTGATACATTGAAACATATAGAAAACGACTATGTATCGTCAACTATGCACGTGGGAGTACTGCTTGTCAGAACCCTAAAGTGGAAACGTTAGCTAATAAAAAAGAAAGAAAGTACAATTTAACTGGCCAAACAGTAATAAGCCCCACTACCTAACCTATTGAGACTTTATTGATACACTTGTTTAGTCAGAACTTGAAACATTCAGGCACTTCTGTCTTCCACTTCATCTTAAATTAGATGAAAAGTAATTTTGAGCAAGTAGTTGACTGAAAGGGAAATTATAATCAAGTATTTCAGATGAATCCATAATTTTCTATATAGCGCTTGGCAGGATTGATTGCAAAAGAGGTAAACGTAGTGTGTGTGTGTTTTTTTGTAAACCAGGTACTTAGTCTCATAAACGTTTAAGTTACAGAGTGAGTTAGTATGTGATTATGGCTGGTAACAGACACTCAGCACCTTTATGGAGAAACTGTAGCCCTGGGCAAATCACTTAACTGCTGTGAGCCTCGGTTTCTTAAGGTACAAAATGATAGTGTTGGGTTGAGTCCAAAGTTACCTTTCAGTTTAAAATTTACACGTATATTAGCGTATGAGTGTTGCTTGGTTTCATCATACCGCCCACCCCACTATTTATGTCCTCTTAGCTTTCGATGGTTTGAGTACTGAAGAGAGTGAGGTGACTCCTCTTAACACACCTGTGTTTTTTTGTTTTTTGTTTTTTTTTAGGGGTGGATGGACCTGTGATGAGGTGTGAGGTAGGGGAAATGGAAGGTAGTAGCACCGCCTGGCCTGAAGCTGCAGTAGTAGAGACTGATGTCATTAAGTATATTATAGATCTTGTAGTAAAAGGAAAGGACTAGAGGGTGAGGCTTAGCTTTGTAATTTAAGAAAGGACTGGTAGTTTTGAAATCCTGTAGATGTTTGGTTTTTACCAGTAGCTTCAGGATACTTGAGGTCTAGTTGGACATTCCCCCCTCTCCCACTTAATTAAATGTCATTAAGGATAAAAAAGTTTTAAAAAGTTCAGCTGAAACTTTTTTTTTTTTTTTAATTAAGCCTGGCAATACAAGGGAGCTTTTTCTGGTAGAGTCGCTATGTAACTATCCCCTTCCTCCCCCTATACTATGGAAAATATTGTGAGTGGTGGTGGTGGAGTGCCTGTAGTCATTCCCACTCATAGCGACCCTGTACTGGGTTTCCGAGGCTGTAAATCTTTACGGGAGCAGGAAGCCTCATCTTTCTCCTGCGGAACGGACTGATTGTGAAACTAGCAGCCCAACTAGTAACCATTATGCTACCAGAGATCCTTATTGAGTTGTTGTTAAGTGCCATGGAGTTGGTTCCGACTCATAGTGACCCTGTACAGGGTTTCTGAGGTTATAAATCTTTACAGGAGCAGAAAGCCACATCTTTCTCCCATGGAACAGCTGATAGTTTCGAACTGCTGACCTTGTGGTTCACAGATCGATTCGTAACCACTACGCTATTAGAGTTCCTTAGTTATTGAGTAGCTGGCATAAAATTTCAACAATCAGGTTGTAGGTTTGTTGTTGTATTTAAATTTAGATCCAGCATTTATTATCTTTGTACCAGGTACTGTCATGAACTTTAAAAATAGCTCAAAAGCATGAAGACATTCATGTGCAGTTTATTTCATGTAGACTATAAATTTGTATTTTGACTCTACTTTTTCAGCCCTGTTAGAAAATTTGTTTGAATTTTAGTGGTGTTTTTGTTTTTTCAAACATGCCTTTTATCTTCTTCCTCCTCTACTGTTGTTCCCTGAATTTTCTTTTGCATAAAATACCCTCCTTTTTCTCTCAAGGTCTAACTTTTCAACTACCTCTCTCAGTAAAGTCTTCATTGCTTTTGTTCTCTGTCTTTTGAACTTTTCTAACACAGTTCTAGCGATAAGGCACTTACTATCACTTATTGTCTCCCAATGCAGTTTTGTATATAATTCTTTTGATACATATCATATACTTCTTGGGAAAAATAACTTTAAGTGCACATTAATGTGTTCTCATGCTTCCCACTTTCCTGTCCATTAATTGAATGGAGGTGTTTATGACAACCAGAGGATGAAAGTGAGCTGTTAAGAAGGAAAAGTAAAAGGTCTCCAACTTTGTAGTTAGTTAGGTTCAAACCCTGACTTTCCTACCTACTATGTAAGAAAGTTGGCCCTGTTTTCTTTATCTGCAAAAGTTAGTTTCTCCAAATTTGGGTGACGACCTTATTTTTATGTGAGAAAAACCTTGTTTTTAGTGAGAATAAGTCTACAGCTCAGTGATATGTTTTTGTTGTTCAGTGTTCTTGAGTCAGTTCATGCTTATAAAGACACATTGTGATTCAAACCAGTCTTATGGTCCAGAGCTTAAGTGTCTTAATGTCTCGCTCTTGCAGTGGTGGTAGTGGTTATGTGCCGTGGAGTAGGTTCCAACTCATAGCGACTCTATACAGGGTTTCTGAGGCTGTAAATCATTACCGGAACTGAAATCCTCATATTTTCTCCCGAGGAACAGCTGGTAGTTTATTTGGGAGGGGCATTTTTGGTTCAGTGATGGAACTCTTGCCTTCCATGTCGGTAGCCCAGGGTAGTTTCTGATTTCAATGCACCTTTTGGAACCATCACCCATGTGTCAGTGTAGGCTTGTGTATTACTATGATGCTAAACAAATTTTATGGAGCTTCTAGACTAAGAATAGGAAGAAAGGCCTGATGATCTGTTTTCAAAAATTAGCTAATAAAAATCTTATGGCTCACAAAGGTCCATTGTGAAACTGATCATAGGGTGGTCATGAATGTTGGTTGAAAGGGGAGGTGGCCTGAACCTGAAGGCAGTTCAACAATCTCAACCTTCTACAGAAGTATAGAAAGGTAAGAGGAACTAAGGAAGAGACAGTCATTTCATTTATTGTCAAAACTAGGTTGTTCACTGAAAGTACAAGTTTTGTTAGCATTGTTCTTTGAAATGTTAATTAGCTGATTATCACTGATGGTTTTTCAATTGCTGGTATATTTAAACCTTCTGAAGCTTCCAGTGAATTAGGATAGCAGTGCCCTAGAGAATTACTCTTTCTAGGTCACAGAAACAGTGACCAAAACAGTATTGTTGTGGGTACTATTTGTCAGTTTGAAGGAGCTCTGGTAGCATAGTGGTTATGAATTGGGCTGCTGATCTTACAGTCAGCAGTTCGAAGCTACTAGTTATTCTGCAGAAGAAAGATGAGGCTTTCTGCTCCCATAAAGATTTACAGCCTCCGAAACCCCGTATAGGGTCTCTGTGAGTTGGAACCAACTCCATGGCACATAAAAACATTTGTTAGTTTTAGTCCTGGTGTGGCACTGTGGGCTAATGTGTCAGACTGCAAAGTCATTTGAACTGCAAGGTTAATGGTTCAAACTCACCAGCTGCTCCTTGGAAACTCTATACAGGGTTGCTATGAGTTGGAATCAACTCCATGGCACTTAACAACAACAGCAACAATTGTCAGTTCCCTGCTCCTCATAGCATAGTGGATTATGAGCTGAGGTGCTAACCGAAAGATCATTCGTTTGAATCTACCAGCCTCTCTGTGGGAGAAAAATGAGGCTTTCTGCTCCAGTAAAGATTCACAACCTCGCAAACCCTGTGCAAGAAACCCTGTGAGTTGGAACTGACTTCACGGCACATAACTACCAACAACCACCATTCTAAATGTTAGATTTGCTGTATTAGGAAGTAGAATTTCTTTTGATGGCATGAGACTTAATAAATTCTGCCCTCTGATGTTGTATGTTGTTGTTAAGTGCCGTGAAGTCGGTTCTGGCTCATAGCGACCCTGTATAGGGTTTCTGAGGAGTGGCTGGTGGGTTTGAACCACTGAATTGAGGCTCCAACTAATCTTGCAGTTCAACATATTATCTTTATGCCACACCAGGATGCCATGATGTTATATGTTGGGGTAGAAAGATGACTAAGAAGACATAGGCCTTGCCCATATGTTATTAGTGTTATGGGGAAGACGTATAGGTAAAGCAAGCAGTTACCACCTCGGAAACCTATACAGGGTCGCTATGGGTCAGAACCGACTTGACAGCACTTCACAACAACAACAACATGGTAGAGACACTTAGCTATATGAGACTTCAAGCAAGGGTCATGATAGAAAACTCAGAAATGAACTTTACATGTGAAAATTCAATTTCAGGAATTAACTGTAAAACACTTTTCCCTCTATATAATTTGTTTTTGAATAATTGTCTAGGTCAA